CACACGTGCAGATTATCTAAAGCCCGAATCACACTAGCGGCTCGCAGCTGCGATTGCAATTGGGTTTGTGATTGTGATTTGCTACGCTCCAATCATACTTGCGATTGGTGCTTTCTAATTGGCTGAGGCAATCGCAATCGCAGCCGCGAGCCGCTAGTGTGATTCGGGCTTTACGTGTTGGGTTAATATTTTAGTTATAAGATTTCTAGAGATTTCAACAAAATTCTTCAAGACTCTAAAAATCCTCTAGATAATAGCCAATGATTGCTTATCTAGTCAAGATACGATTCAAGATATTTATTATGGAAGAATTAATAAAATTTTTTAAATTTTATTAGGTTAGGAAATCTGTCATTTTTAATTAATTATATACATATTCAATTAATATCACCATAATTATAAATAAAATACATAATTACTTATATATGTATATATAACTTTTGTCTTTATATTTATTATTATTTTTATTTTTTGCGTTTTTGTCGTAGTCTGCAGCTAGCAACAAAACCATAGTGAAATATAGCACCGAACCTATTACCAAAAACTAGCATGCTAGCACGCACAGCAACACGCAGCACATAATATTTCAAGTTGCATAGTCATTATAATTGCTAGCAAAATGTCTCGCATGCGATCTAGTATGCAAAATCGTACCGTGTGCCGCAGGCTTAATATTGGCCTTAAGCCCGTATCAAACTACAGACTATGCATTGAAGATTGAGATTGAAGATTGAAGATTGAAATTTGACCAATTAGAATGAAGAAATGTTAGTTCTTTTTCTGATTAGTCAAATTCCAATCTTTAATCTTTAATCCTCAATCTTTAATGCGTAGTCTGATACGGTCTTTAAAGTCCGTATCAAACTACGCATTGAAGATTGAGATTGAAAATTCAAGATTGAAATTTGATCAATCAGGATACAGAAATTTTAATTTCTTTTGTTCTGATTAATCAAATTCCAATCTTTAATCTTCAATCCTCAATCTTTAATGCGTAGTCTGATACGGTCTTTAAAGTCCGTATCAAACTACGCATTGAAGATTGAGATTGAAAATTCAAGATTGAAATTTGATCAATCAAAATACAGAAATTTTAATTTCTTTTGCTCTGATTAATCAAATTCCAATCTTCAATGCGTAGTCTGATACGGGCTTAAGTATGGTCTTGTGTCGTCTTAAGATCTTATTCAACCAATGAAATGGCCACATAGCATCTTAAAGCCCGTATCAGACTACGCATTAAAGATTGAAGATTGAAATTTGTCCAATCAGAATAAAAAAAATTTAGTCCCTTTTGTTCTGATTAGTCAAATTCCAATCTTTTTAATCTTTAACCTTCAATTTTTAATGCGTAGTCTGATACGGGCTTTACGACATATGAGCATTGGCGATGCGCTATAAGGCTCGTTCTACAATAAGTCGTATGTCGTTAAGCCCGGATCAGACTACGTATTAAAGATTGAAATTTGACCAATCAGGCTAAAAGGAACTAAAATTTCCTTGTCCTTTGGTCAAATTTTAATCTCAATGCATAGTCTGATACGGGCTTTAGTCGTTAGCAAATTGACCAATGACAATCGATTATTCCGAGAATATTCGATTATGATTGATCAATTTGCTTACGACTAACGACATAAGGCTTATTGTAGAAAGGGCCTTATTTAAAATTTTTAAGAGCCGAATTGCAAAATCTGGCTGTATGTGTAAAATTATTAGTTATACAAAAAAACATTTTGAATGCGGTAGCATTTATAGAATTAAGAGAAAACATTAAATATCAGAAATTGTTTAACATAAATTATTTAGATTAATATAAAAACTAGTTTTTAGTATTTCTATAATATTTATCATTTAATATTATTTACATATAAAATAAATAGAGTAATGGAAATTTGAATATGAGCGGGAGTTGACGAAAAATGCCGGACTAATCAAAAGTAGCTCTCTTATGGCCAGTCTCTTATAGCGTCTTCTATTGGGAAAAACTCGCTTGCACTGACAGCACTGAGTGCTTGAAGCGTATTTCATTGGTAGTATTAGTGAGTATATTCTGAGTGCTGCACATTTCATTGGGAGTACAAAATGCTTTCAGTGCGCACTGAGTGCGGTAAAAGTGACCTGAGTTTAGAGGCCGGGGCCACCTCAGTGTTACACTGTTTGAATTTGACACTGTTCACTGCTGTGACAAGAAATATGGACTTATTTTTAGCAAGCAAATTTTTAGAATCTTTGTCGTCATCAAATGAAGATGAAATTCTGTTACTTATTGCAAACACGAAAAATGTGAAGCCAAAAATTATGAATTATGTGGATACTATTCACTTAAAGACCGATGATCAGGTTATAATATTTGATTTTTCAAGGTTATATTTTTAATAACATGTATAGGGCCGGTTGTTCCAACTTCTTGAGAAAATCACACTAACTGATATGTGGCTATCTTACAGTTAAAGTATACCTATTAGTTCACCGACAGGTTTCATTTGACATGTTGTTCCATGATATAAATACCTATTGGGTAGTTACCTCGTAGATAAGTACGAAAAGCATTTCCGGTTTGTATAATGCTAATTTCATGTCATTAAAAAGTAAGGTTACATAATTATCATTTTAATATCTATTGATATGTACATATGTTCCCAGGTAGCAAGGTGTCGTCATTATAACGTCATTTTTTAGTCACTGGTTACGTCAAATTCACTTTTGAAACGACGTAAAAGTGACGTTAGAATGACGGTCCTAAGTCACAGACCGTTGACGTCATTATCTGTGACGATAAAATGACGTTTTGTATAGTTTTGAAATGTTGCGCGCAGTAACATTTTTCATGAAATATTAAATAAATAATAATTTTCGATATAGATAAACATGCACATAAAATTCAATTATTAATATTAAATAATATTTCATAGTTTTGTAATATAATAATACCGTATTTTCAAGGGTTTTGAACAGAAAGTCATGTAAACTTTGTAAATATCATAAAATATTTATTATTTTCCATGAATAAGATAATTTTAATATTGATGTATTTTAACAACATTAGTTAATTGATCAGTAAATAACCTTAAAAAGAAAATGACGTTACGTTATTTCTGTGACGATAATATGTCGTCAAAAATATCACATTTGTGTTACGTCATTATTTAGTCAACTGACGTCATATGACGAAAAATGACCTTAAAATGACGTTATAATGACGACACCTTGCTACCTGGGTAAGTCGTTCCGAACCAAGGAAATTTGCGTACATAGCGATCTTATGGAGAATCGGAAAGAAGTATAGAAGAGAGTATAGAAGAGAGTATAGAAAGTGTTAAAAAAGTAATGAATTTCATGTATAAAATATATTTTTATGTTTAACGTATTCAAATCTTATTTGATTCTTATTATTGTGCTATACATGAAAGCAACATTATTTTATATTTCTTCTTTACTTATCTTTATCTTATCCTTATCTGGCATTTTATATCTATTATTGCAAGAAATGCAACACAAATTCGTATTGTCATAACCGTTTCGTACAAAATTACAAGATGTAAATATTTGCATAGATACGTGGAATGTTTCTATCCTTATCTGGATGTTTTTAAAAGGGAAAATAACAGTCTAATCTGACGAATAGAATATAATAAAAGATTATTTATTTGCAATTTAATACGTAAAAAAGAGTAAGTTGATATTTATTCATATATATTGTGTATTATGGAAAATATTTAAATAATCTAATAATTTACATTTCTCATCTGCAGTTACATTTAAAGCCATGTCCGTAAGTAAAACAGAACATAAATGTCACAATATTCTCAGTAATATGTGAAACATAACCAAAGATCTTCACTTTACCTGCTAAATAGAGATCTTACTCGGTGGTTGGAATACAGAGTAAAATTACCTCTTGGTACTAACAATTTAACCCATAGGTAAACTTTACCAATAGATGAAACAACAGATATTGATATTTATCTAATGGGTGATTGACGGGTAAATCTACCAAGAAGTTGGAACAACCGGCCCATAATGTGATAACATATGTATGACTTCCGCTTGTTCTCTCGGTGAGTGAACATCGTTTCTGAACTCTGAGTTTTTGGTGTTAGCATCAAAGAATATTTTCGCGAGTTATCTGCCTGACTCTGTACATCATTCGTTCTGTGTACATTGTTACAAGCTGCAGTCTGAAAGTGACACTGAGTGCGGAGTTGCCGGCCGTGCTCCGGTTTGCTCTGGCTTGCTCCAACTTTTTGCCTCCACGTAAGTGTGGTGTCGGCCATACTATCCTTCCAGGACATTTACTGCGTACAAGACCCATACACGCATTTAACACAACACGTGCAATTTATTCATCTCCAACTATGGATCCAACTATGGATTTTGCCATCGACGACGCTTTAGAAAAGGATACCCGGGACTCGTCCCTACCTAAAGAGGAATCTAGCAATGATAACGTTGTTGATAGGGTTCGAGATATCATTTATCGAAATTGTAAAAGAAGCCAGTCTTCTTTATTGAGAAGCTTATTTCCTCCTAAAAGATCAGCATTGGATATTCATGGAAAGGAAGATCCTCGGCTATTAAACAAATATGGCTTCCCTGCCGAAAATGGTCGATTAAAACCGATTAAAACATAATCCGTTGTAATCGGTTTTAATAAACATAATCTGTTTTAATCGGTTTTAATCGGTTCAATCGGCGCCCGGATTAAAAAGTAATCGATTTTAATTCCAAACGAACTATAATCGGTTTTAATATTGCTTTCGCGGATTATTTCCAATCTAAAATCATTACATTCTAATCCATATTGTTGTCAATCCAAATAAACACGAATAATCGAATGGATATTGTGGCTGCCGTAGGTCGTCACATTAAGCACAATCCGCGATACAATAGTGCGACCCGCAACTTGGCGGCCCACGCGCTCGCGCGTAGTCCCGGGTGGCGCCGCTATGCGGCGAAGGTCGAGCGAGCCAACCTGGAAGTAG